TTGAACCGTACGCACAAGAATCGCTTCTGGCCACTCCCAGGTGAATGAAAGTCAGAAGTTTTCCACTTCNGTGGATATAAATATCCGGACGTTGTGAACTGCGATTTGAACCGTACGCACAAGAATCGCTTCTGGCCACTCCCAGGTGAATGAAAGTCAGAAGTTTTCCACTTCTGCGAACGGAACCATCCTCCTCCTCCACATGTATACTCACATAGTAAAAATTAGTACATATTTTGTTCTAGTGAGCTACTGGTATCACAGTTCGACAAATTTTGATTTTTTATTTACTACCTGAGTAAAACCCATAGCTTGTTGTAGATTTTCTGGGGGTGAGGTTATTTGAGACGATAATTTGCAAGGTTAACTTAGCACAGTGCGTATGCAACTGGCTGAGTCTGTGGGATCGTCGGTTCGAATCCTACTGAAAGAAGTCTGATGAGGAGATGTGATTTCCGAAATAGCTATCACTTATACCATTTTGTCAAAATTATTGTTGCTTTTCCACAATAAGTTTTTCATTAAAAACGGCCTCGAGCTCAATAAAAATTGTTGAATATAATTGTTATAAGGCCATAAAATAACAAAAACAAATAACTTAAGGACGAGCACACCTAAAAGTTAAACATTCTAAAAATAGAATTATTAACAAAAACCAACAACCACATGATCAAGTGTAAATCGAAGCGGAATAGCTGCGCTTGATTGTGTTGGCTTAGCAAATGAAAAAGTGGGAAAAAAGCAACGATAATTTACAAGGCTAACTTAGCACAGTGCGTGGTCAACTGGCTGAGTCTGTGGGATTGTCGGTTCGAATCCTACTGAAAGAAGTCTGATGAGGAAATGTGGTTTCCGAAATAGCTGTCACTTCTACCATTTTTTCAAAATTATTGTTGCTTTTCCACAATAAGTTTTTCATTAAAAGCGGCCTCGGGCTCTATAAAAATTGTTGAATAAAATTGTATTAATTTAAAAGCATATGGCCCAAATCGCCGAAAACGAAACCGAAGTAAACAATTTTTTCTCAGGTTTCGCAGAATTTTGATCATTATAAATTTTCATACAATAGACGATAAACGCTTGCAAGCGTATCGCATGAAATCAGTTCTCGTTTATCGTTTTAATACGCCCGACAGATGTATTGTGAATGGCTGTGGTTTTTGTTCACTTTTTATTATGAACCAGCACAAATCAGCTACGCTAAATAACGGATTTCATACGACAACATCAATTCGTAATAGAGAACAACAGAATACAAGCGTTTACCGTGCATCGAACGAATTCATAATAGGGGGGTATATCTGGGTCATACATGTTCTGAGGTATCAGGCAATATAAATATTAACACGAATCTCCTTCTCTCAAACATGAAAATTCATTAATCCTGAGACACCTTGCAAAAAAACAAAGGGTGATCGAATCTTACACTTCGGCTTAAATTAAAGCTAGAGCTCTCGACTACTATCCCTGAAAATATTATTCGTGCACCTTGATTTGATGGTCACTTATAGTCGTTTTTGGAAAAGCAAAAACTGATTTTGGCAAAGTTTGAGTATCTACCGCAAATACAATCCCTGGACCTTGACCCTAAGATCACTTATAGTCCTTTATTGAACAGCAAAAACGGATTTTGGCACAATTTTCTTTCTTTCAATAACACAATACACCAGTATTTTGTTATTGTTCAATAAATGACTATCAGTGATTATCAAGTCAAGGTGCACGAATGGTATTTTCGGGGATAGTAGTCGAAATTTCTAGCTTTAATTTAAGCCGAAGTGTAAGGTTCTATCACCTTTTGTTTTTTTTTGCTACAGCTTCTCAAATATTAAAAAACGCGATTTTTTGATACTTTGACCACGTCTTTCTCAAAATCTGGAAGTGATGGATACCTTTTACTTACGGATTCGTAATCAGCATGAAAAAGTCTATCAACAGCTTTAACATTTTAGGTTACAAAATTGTTTCTCATTTTTGTTGCCTGTGTTATTGAAAATTAAAAAGCGTAACCACCACCATTTTTTGCATTATACTTCTCTTCGATTACCTTGTATTACTTTGAAGTTAATAAAAAAAGAATTCGACAAATTAATCAGTGATTAGCTTTCTTAATGAAAATAAAGTCGACATCATTTTTTAATGTAAATATCAAAAAGTTTTTTGACGTGGAATCCACCAGGCTAAAAAATGGAAAAATCTTTTTTTAGTGCATTTTCGATCTTCTTCATTATCAGAGTGTGTTTGGTGCAAAGCTATTTGTAACGTGTATTTTTAATAATTGAATTTTCAGGTAAATTTTTTTTATTTAGTCGGAGATAGGGCTCATTTGAAAGCAACATTGTAAGCTATTCCACGTGCTATTGTTGAAATTTATATTCTTTCTAACTTAAATAGGTTCAGAAAATAAAAATTACGTAGAAAAATAAAATAACGCGAGAATTATATAATTTCAAAAAGGGAACGAGGCCAAAAGTAGCAAAATAAGAAGCTGAAAGAAGAAATTTTATTGAATAAAAGGTAAAAATCTATTGGGATTATTTCAAGTATCTTTTTAATACTATTGTTATCCTTCAAAATACACTCTCAAATGGTGTTAAACGATTTTTCTTTACTGAAACTGACGTGTCCTCGAGTCTAATAGCTCGGTTATGCATAATTTGCACTGCTATGCCATTTTTATGTAAACATCAAAACCCGACAGACTTTTAACCGCTTATACGCAAAACTCATTTAACAGAATCCTTATGTAACAACTCTCATGCAATGCCAAGTATGCATAACTGAGCTATAACATCGCCCAACCAAGCATATGCTCTCTAACTCAGGCTTACCCAAAGTGGGTGCCGCAAGCGTATACTTGGGGTGCCGCTAGTGGCTAGAGCATACTAGTTGTGCGGGCAAATTCTTTAAACTTCCCATACGCAACGCAAGCGGTTTGATAAAACTTTAACTTGGCGGCCAGAAAATCAAAAAAATTGGATTTTTATTAAAATTGTACGTTTTGTCAACGAAAAATTGAATCAGAAAATTTTCGGAAAAATAGCCGAAAACCTACCATTTTCACAACCATTTTCGATACTTTTGTGGACCTAATCCGCGTTTCATCCACTTTTCTTCCCGTTTTCGGATTTTTTGCTGGCTGGCCTGTTCTCGTAACAAGCGCAACAGCTTCGCGCACGTGTATATGTTACTTATTCTTTGGAACTTCACAATCACACTGTGGAAGAGCGAATCAGCACGATTTTAGAGGCAGTCTTCTCGTGTTAGTGAGGTACACATTCGCAACACAGTATACCTGTAGAAAAGGTTTTTGTTGTTGTGGCTGTTAATTTGGTCCCCATAAAGGACTTAAGGGTTGCGAGCAACTATTTTGCCGCATTCAGGGTGCTGTGCAGCAAAATAATGTGGTGAAAAATTTTAACATCGGATAAATGGCGAGAGAAATATTGTTACGCGCTTTATAAGTAAACATGAACGTAATAAAATTTGNAATCATTTGACTGGCAAGGCTGATAGAGATTTCTGTCACTGGCTACCTACAAGTTTCTATCACATTCTAAAGGGCAGTGTGAAAAATCTGATGTAAACATTTGTGTACATATGATCTTCCGTCTTCCTCCAACTTATGGCCTTATATATTGGTCTCTTTTTAACCAACGCAAAATTTGCAAATGTGTTAGTAAGATAAATGAGAATGTGTTAGTTTCCATCACACAATTCTTGTAGGGATTGTTATGCGCTTTATAAGTAAACATGAACGTAATAAAATTTTTATAATTCAATCCAACTAATTAGCGCTATTTTTGCAATTCGAAATGATCTTAAAAATATTTGTTGTGAAATATGTACCTTATGAGTTAAATGGAAACTATCTTATATGTAAAAATATATTCCGATTTACTTCAAATAAATGATGTAAAATGTGTTATATATGGATCTAATTTTAATAATAAAATTTATTACTTTCATCTACATTGCTTTTATTGTAAGTTTTCACGAGTAGTTGCAGTTTTCTGCAATTGTCTCTGGCCGGCTATACATGTTAAAGCCAAATAATTTCACAATTTGTACCCTATTAAAGGTTTATATTTTAATAAAATGTGATCAATTATTTAAGAATATATATATTCCGATCAAACTATAGTACTGAATGCTTGACAAATAATTATTTAAATCAAATGATCAATAGTGAATTGAGCGAATTAGGCATATTAAGACTAAATAATTTCTAACTTTCTACCATATTATACGTTTA